AAAACAAAGAAGAGGTCAGATTAAGCATGCTTCAAAGGTAAGCTGCAGCAACTTAGAAGGTATTCATACAACTAATTTCATAAAAGGGGGCATTTACAAACATAAAACCAAATTCTTATGTATTTACATATCTAACATCTAAACTTTACAGTTTACATTTATAACACCCAAATCATTCCTATCACATCAAAATACAACTATTTTAACTTTTATAACAGGCATATACTTTTTCAAGCATAATTAAGGTTGCCTATACGTAAAAATTTAAGTTTAGGTGTTAGAAATGTAAATACATAAGAATTAAATATTATGCATGTAAAAGTTTCCTTCATATAAACATAGAGGAGCAAAGGAAGAACGAGAGTAGATGCCATATTATGTCTAAGTTGCTCCTGTTGAGAAAGGTCCAATATGTCAAAGATGAGGCTCTTTTGTGCAACTGGAAAACTATATAGAGTCAGTTGGGTGTTAAATATATGCAGCAGTGCCCAGCAAAAACCACCGAGATAATCAAGCAGAATGGATGAACCGCATCTTTAGAAGTTTTTGGAACTTGGTGGAGAAGAAATTTCTTCAATGGGATCTAGGAATGTCCAAAAAGCTTGTTGTTCGCGAACTCGTGCTCAACTCGTTTGTAAAGTAACAAGTCAAACACGAACATAATTTTTAAACACAAATTATAAACGAGTTGAATATGAACAATCTCTTGCTCGCTCGTGTTCGACTCATTTTAACACTGTCATTATCGGTCCCAAGCCTGGATGTGAAAAGTGAAGGGTTGCGTTAGGTAGTCAACGACCAACATAAAACTTATTGAAAAAATAATGACATGAATCATTTTGATCATTATGTAAGTGCTATGGCGTCTCCTGGAAACAACGCGTTGTATAGCCTGAATACAGTGATAAGTGTGCAAAGGTCGCTACACCGGCGCCGGTGAAGGGTGAGTTATTTTGATAAGCTTTTTGATAAAGTTTCTGAAAATACAATCGACCTTAGTGATCTTAATATCATTAATAATAATAAAACGTTTAATTTTTACCTCGCATTAGTAAAAAAAAGTTGAAGGGGCTTTAAAGAAAATCAAGGGTGGAAAGTCTGTAGGACCTGATGATATCGCAATTGAAGTATGGAAATATTTAAGAGATTTGAGAGTTTCTGTTTCTTGGCTGAGTTTCTTGGCTTACTAAACTCTTTAATATTATTTTAAAAACTAAAAAGATGCCCGAGGAGTGGAGGAAGAGTATTTTGGTTGCCATATTTAAGTATAAAGGGGAGCACAGGAGTGTGCAAATTAAAGAAGGATTAAGTTGATGTATCATACTTTAAAATTATGGGCGAGGGTAATTGAACATAGGTTAAGATGTATTACAAAGATTTCTCATAATCAATTTAGATTTATGTCGAGCAGGTTTACTATGGAAGCTATACATTTATTGAGAGGCTTGATGGAGAAGTTCAGAGATAATAAAGAGAATCTACATTTGATTTTATTGATTTAGAAAAAGATATCCTTTGAAGAGTTCTTGAAAAGAAATGTGTTGATATGACTTATATTCAAGTCATTAAAGATATGTATACTAGAGCTATTACTTGTGTTCGACCTGAAGGAGGATTCCTGAAGGAGGATTGACCAAAAGGATTGACCAAATATTTTTCCAATTTATGTTGGATTACATCAGAGATCGGCTTTAAGCCTATACCTTTTTGCTTTACATATGGATGGTCTTATTGGATAGTTACAAAAGGATGTATCTTGGTGTATGCTTTTTGTTGATGATATCCTTCTAGTGGATAAGACGAGAGAAAAAGCCCAAGAAAAACTTGAATTATGGAGGTCTACTTTGGAGTCTAAAGGCCTTCATTTGAGCAGAACTAAAACTGAAAACATGGAATGTAATTTTAGTCGTAGTATCTCTAGTGACAGAAGTGTAACTTTTGGCGATCAAATTATTAAAAGGTGTGAACGATTTAGATATCTCGAGTCAGTTGTTCAAAGCGATGGTGATATAGATGGAGATGTTAATAGTAGAATTCAAGTTGGTTGGCGGAAGTAGAGGAATGCTTCAGGCCTTTTGTGAGATAGAAAAGTACCACTAAGACTGAAAGGAAAATTTTATAAGACAATGGTGATACCTGCAATGCTCTATGGCGCTGAATGTTGGCTTTTAAAAGAGAAGCATAATACTAAGTTAAGTGTTGCCGATATAAGAATGATCAGGTGGATAAGTGTCTTTACACTTAGAGACAAAATGAAAAATCAATAAATTCGTGATAGGTTGTTGTAGCTCCTGTGACAGACAAAATTAGAGAAAGTCGTCTTAGATGGTTTGGTCACATTAAGCGTCGACCATCTGATAATCCGATTAGGAGATTAGATGTTTTAGATTCAACTTATGTTAAGAAAGGCAGAGGTAGATGTAGGAAGACTTGGGCTTATTGTATAAAAAATGATCTTAATTTATTAGAACTAAATGAAAATATGACACTAAATAGGATGCAATGGAGAAAAAGGATTCATGTAGCCGACCCCATGTAGTGGGATTAAGGTTTTGTTGTTGTTGTTATTGTTGTTGTATATATTTATATCTAACTTTAAATCATAACTCATGTGGTCATATGGTTCTGCGTCTCCTATTTCATAGTTGGTTCATGTTCGAATCCAATATTCAACATCTATTTTTTTTTCATTTAATTTTAACAAGTCAATTTCGAACTGAACACCAACAAGAATATTTAAATTGAGTCAAACACAAACCACTGTTCACGAGCCGATTTCGAATACAAGCAATTTCAAAAGAGCCAAACACGAGCGAAGCTCAGCTCATTTACAACCCTAATGAGATCTAGATCCTACCAAAGAAGAAGAAAAGGCCTCCCCTGTAGTTGCTCGTGAGAATTGCTCAACCGGTCATTGAGTTCCTCCCAGAGTTGAATCCTCCTTACATACTTATCTACCGGATATATCCAGTCGAGTACGAGGAGTGGAAGAAGCCAATTACAGATCTAGTGGCTCGAGAGTTACTTTGGGAGAATCTACTATTATATGCAGTTATAGCTCAGGTTGTGCAAAAAAAAGATAGGTACTTATTCTATCAGCAAGTGTTTTGGAGTGATAACACCTGCAGGAGTGACTTATCGAGAAGTTATAGTAGCTCCACCACCTTCAAAATGATCGATATGACTATACTATGCGGAGCTAGAAGCTTCAACAGATAGGTAGAACTCTCCCAACCTCGGGAGACTGACCAGGTATCGGGAGCTTTCCACACATTTTCTATGACCCCTGCTACAGCATCGCAAACTGTAGTGAAAGTAGTGGACCTTCATGTGGATTCCCACCTATTTGGAGTCGGCTTCACTCCTATTTACCCTAAGTCTATAAACATGATGTTTTAGTATTTTAGAAGGGTTGTTGCTTTCATATTCCTGTAAGAACTGCCGTCAGCACCCCATTTCCTCTCCTAGGGTTGTATCCGAATGTGAGAAGGAGCTCCAACTATAACTCGTCCTGAGGTGGTAACTTTCTATCGTTCTCTGCTTCCCCCAAAACTTCCCCTCTGCAGCCGTCGTCGCCACCGTCATTGTCGTTTTCGTTGCTCAGAAACCGAGCCCAGACTTTTTCCCTATAGTTGGACAGCCCTCCCGGTCATCCCCACCACATTACCAGCCCTTCCAACCATCTCCAGCTTGCTACCGGCCACTCCAACCACCCCCCTACCTGCTGCCACCACATTTCCAGCCACCTCTAAGCTGCTGCCGCGCCTCCCAGCCACATCAAACCTGCTGTATTCCCCTTCCAGCCCCTACAACCGGCTGTCGGGCCCCTTCCAGTCCCTACAACTTGTTGACAGGTTCCTTTCCAGCCACCTCACACCTGCCGCCGTCCCCTTCCAGCCACCTGCCGCTTGCTACCTCCCCTCCAGCCACCTCCAACCTGCTTTAGTTACTATTTCCCCCTTAAACCACAGCACCATCGTCTTCACTGTCAGCCCTAGTTTGTCCATATTGTGTCTTTGTTATTTTCTCATTTCAAGCGTCTTTGATTGTAATCTCTATTTGCTTTTGAGTATCATTGTCATGCCTAGAGCATTGTCAATCACTCCATACATTAAAAAAAAAAAAAAACATCATACACTGTGCCACAATATAAAAAGAGTGCACTGAGTCAACAGGGCTCCAGCCAAATGAGGGATATGGGGAACGATTATCTACAATAATAAGCCTAATTTTTAGCAGACAGATTGTTTCAACTTTTTAATAACTCAATAAGCCAAAAGAGGCTAAAATGACCATTGGAACCATGACCCCTCAATATTAACCAGAAAACATTGTTCTACAGCTTGTACAGCCTTGCCACAACACTCATCACTTGAGACAACAGTGCACTCAAAATATACAATAATATAATGTAGCAAAATACAAAATGTGCTAGAAACTAGATCAGCAAGCAATCTTTATACCCTAACAAAAGGGCCATCGTCAATATTGCTCCAAGCACATAACATTTCAGCGAAGAATCATTATCATCGACTACATTAGCTTCATATCAACTATTTTGATCATCTTGAGGTAATAAATCTATTTTGCATAAATTATTTTAGCAATTTAAATGTAAATATTGACCCCTCAATATTAACCAGAAAACATTGTTCTACAGCTTGTACAGCCTTACCACAACACTCATCACTTGAGACAACAGTGCACTCAAAATATACAATAATATAATGTAGCAAAATACAAAATGTGCTAGAAACTAGATCGGCGAGCAATCTTTATACCCTAACAAAAGGGCCATCATCAATATCGCTCCAAGCACAACATTTCAGCGAAGAATCATTATCATCGACTACATTAGCTTCATATCAACTATTTTGATCATCTTGAGGTAATAAATCTATTTTGCATAAATTATTTTAGCAATTTAAATGTAAATAGTATTAGAAAAAATGAACGATAATGTGCTAGGCTATCAAGGAATGTACAAAAAAAAAACTTACATAAAGGGTATTCAATCGCACACACAGATTTTGAGTTGTAAGTCGGTTAATTTGATTGAAATTTCTCTCATTTGTTGATTTCACATCTGCAACTTCCTTCCTCACAAAGGCCTTTATTCCAATTTCCCTTTTGTATCGAGTGAGGACAGGAACAGAAGGTATCAAATCTTCTTTATCAGCTGCAGATACCAATATTAACTAGAATAAAAATTTTAAAATTTAAAAAAAAGTGTTAATGAAAAAAAAACTCTGAAGGACACTGGAGATAGATGCAAACAGTTATATTAAAATTAGACCAAACCAAGGGGGAAAATATTAAACAAAACCTGAATAAATAACACAAAAGAATGTTATTGATCGCTTATTGGATATTCTGTCAAATGAAACCCCTAAAACTGGCAGATTATAATATATTTTTAATATCCTCATAATTAGGTGTATTATTCTGTATTATATGTTTCCTTATCATTTCCTCCTGTATGCTTAGTTATAAGATGAATATGTTCAACCAATAACAAACAAAAATTCTCTTTCCTCCCAACATAGAATCAAAGCAAGAAAGATCTAACGAGCATGCCAATTGATGTGGTACAAAATTCAAGTTCTGTTTTGCACTGATAAAATGTATGGCAAACTTTGCCCACTCGCATTTTCTCTGCTGCACTCTTGCCTAAGCACCTACTTCCGCCCATGTCAATTGCATCTCTCACTTCTCACTTGCTCGCTCCACCATGCACACACAACAAATGGAAAAAACCGTTACAACAAGACCCTACCTCGCATGCTAGCTTAGCTTGTTACTTGCCTTGTAAAAAAAATTAAAAATAAAAAGCTATGCACCTGATTAGTAACATCTAATCTCATTTCTTCTTCACCATACTTATCTTCTACTGGCTCCTATTACTGCCCTACATTATGTGAAATCCTCTCTATCATTGGTACCAATTATCACTTATGATCGACGGCCATTCATTTTACGTTGGTTCTCATAATAAACTCTCTTACCTGTTGCCTCTTCTCTAGTACTCAAGATATCAAGTTCTCTAAATAACAAGCATACGATACATTGTTTCAACTAGATTGCTAAAAAGTCTCAAACATTTTATTGTATCCACAGTCAAGTTTCAAGAGAGATTGCTAAGGCACTCCATTTGAGATCGTGTACGAGCATAACCCCCTGACTCCACTTGACTTGATACCACTCTTAATGACATCAGAAATTAGTGAGGATGTTGCGGAGAGAGTGCAAGAGTTTCATAAGCTACATAAAGAGGTGGGAAAGGAGATCACCAAACAGAACTCCAAGTACCAAGCACATGTGAATAAGACTCAAAAAAAGATGACCATCTAAGAATGGGACCTAGTGTATATTCGGCTAAAGAAAGAAAGGTTTCCTTGAAATGAAGGAAAAAAGGTTTCCATTGAGCTTTTGGCAAGCTCGGCCCAGAGCAGATGAACCTTTCAGAATCCTCACGAAGCTGAACGAGAACACCTATAAAATTGACCTATTAGGGGACTACAACATTTTTGCTACATTCAATTTAGCAGATTTGACTTCGTGCTACGAAGAACCAAAAGCTTCAACGAATGAGATCAAAGATTCCCCAACCCTGGGAGGCTGAAGCGGAGCTCACATGGGTTGAACCGATTGGGAAGGCTCAACTGGTTCAGTTAGGGCGTGCAGGGGCAAGCAAAACCCTTGCCTGGGTTAGGGTTGCCACTCAAGGGGAAAGAATTTCCCCTCATAATTATCTATTATTATATATATATGTTAATTTCTTTTATTCGGGTTTGGATTATCCTTCGGTCTTTTTCTACGGCCAACATTTCTCCCCCTGCTAATGTTGTATTCGAGGGACAGGTGGAGCTTTGGTTGTATCCTGCTCCAAGATATTGATTACCTCCATATATTTCCTTCCACTTTCCCCTTGTCGTTGTCGCCCTTCTTGTGCATCTCCTTGTTGTTGTCGCTCCTCCTTGTAACGTTCTATTGCCCCCGCCGCCCATAGTGAACATTCCTTGCAGCCCCCACCCTTCCTACACCCCCCTTGCTCACAACCTCCACCTCCCTACGTCGTTCCATTGTTGTTGTCGACGCCTTACCTGCACTACTCTAGCATGCCGTCACCTTTCCCCAAGCCACCTCGTCGTGCTCTACCGGCCGTCCTGTTTCACCCTAGTGAGATATATGTGTTGTGTCGTGTTTTCTTTCTGTTTGAAGTTCTTGATTGTAAGATTGCTGCTTTACTTAATGAAATGTGCTTCCCTTATTGGGTTTTTGGGTCAATTCCGGTATCAAACTCCTTCCTCATTGAGATACTAATAATCCGTATACTATTTGATCAACACGTATATTTACATGGTAACAAGTGCGTCACTACATGTCGGATCAGGTGTTCGCCTTCCAAACATGAGGTATGATAATAAAGTTGAGTAATCTCATTCGACCTTGCCCCTTTCCATTCACCTACCTACCTCACTTCAACGATAATGAAAAACCATCAAAGTCTCACACACATCTAGTTATCCCTTTAAAAAAAGAAAAACATTGTATAATAAATTGTTGAAATGAAGCTAACAAATTATCATTTATAAAAAAAACAAACAGAACTATGACAAAAAAGCCGCTTACTTCGCTAAGAACGTGTTCAAAATAAAGCTGCTTACTTCATAGATAATGAAAAAGAATCAAAGTCCCATATAAATTTAGTTGTATCCTTTAAAGTAAGAAAAACATTGTATAACAAATAGTTGAAATGATGCAAACAAATTATCATTTATAAGAAAACAAACAGAACTATGACAATAAAGCCGCTTACTTCGCTAAGAAAGTGTTCATAATAAAGCCACTTACTTCACAGATAATGAAAAAGCATCAAAGTCTCGCATACATTTAGTTATACCCTTTAAAGTAAGAAAAAAATTGTAAAATAAATTGTTGAAATGATTCTAATAAATCATCATTTATAAGACGAAAACCGAATTATGACAATAAAACCGCTTCACTAAGAAAATGTTCACAATAAACCACTTCACTAAGAAAATGTTCACAATAAACCATATGAGGATCAAGAACTACACTAACTAAATCTCACTGAACAAATCAAAATTCAAGCATTAAAGAGTGGCAAGACATTTGAAGGTAAAAATCAAACTAAGATAAAAAAAATGTTGGTTATAGGTAAAAATCAAAAAGAAAAGATGAGTTTTATTCTCTTTTCTTTTTTAAAGAAAAAAATAAGATTTCTGCTGAGCAATAGAAACTCACCTATCTGCTGAACAACATGACCATTATAAACTTGAAATGCATTGTCAAGGCCACGACAAAGGCTTTCAAGTTCTCCAGTCCTCATGGGCACTTTAAGAGCAAAAAAATGGTCAACAGTCTGCGCACCAAAAAATAGAAAAAACGCTCCCAGATTAGCCAGCCATGAGTTTGAGATGCTCAAACAAAACCAGAGTTAACTGTTACATGCAGAGATCCATATATTCCCATATTATGAAAACTAAAAGGATAACCTAAGCATGTTCTGAATATTAGCTTAGTCAAAAAGACTAAGCATTATCAAAGAAAGCACTAGTTGTTATTAAATAAATCAGAGAGGAAGATATACTTTTCTATCTTCTACAAGCTACAGAAGTAGGCTTTTTAGATACAGTTATCAACAGCAAAAAAAAACCCACAAATTTCCTGCACTAGATTCTGCAGAATAATCACCAGACTGCATGCAACTAAACATTAAAATATGAAAATACACACGCAAGTTGATAGAACATGCAACATAGAAATTAGCAAAATCTATAAGAAGTTCACAGGAGAAACATATTGGTTATTCAACATACAAATAAATGATCAAAAAAGATGATGCCATCAAAACAACTTACAAGTGTATATGTTACACACATATACACTTAATACATCAGTATTTACATATCTAACACCTATACTTAAATTTTGGCATATATGCCACCTCACCTATGCATGAAAAGGTGCAATTCACATTTTTAAAGTTAAATTATGTGACATGAAAGATTTGTTGGTATAAATGTAAAAGGTAAAGTTTAGATACGTAAATACATAGGAATAGGGTGGTATGTATGTAAATGCCCATTTATTGTTTCAAATTTTAGATCACAACTGTTGCTGCAGTGAGAGCTGTGTTGTAACTCCTTTGTAGTAGATAAGTAATACAGGTGATTGGCTGACACTACATGCCATATTATTAAGCCGTGAGGGCATCTGAGGTGTTCAAGCATACAAAAATTGCATGGAGGCCTTGGGAGCTTGCGACCATGTTGGGTGACCAGAGAGGCTATAAAGTGGATTTTGCCGCTTGAGGGATAGGCAGAAAGTTGCCCACCCTCTAAAATCCTGTAAGTCTGGAGAATTGATACCTCCAGAAAGTTATGGCAGACCCTAGGAATTACTGCTGACATCCTATTGGGACTATAGTTGCCAATTTGAAGTCGACAGATTACATCTAGGTGTTCTTCATATTCCTCTAGATTAAAAAAAGTTGTCATGGAAATGTCCTAAAAATTTTGTGATTTCATTATGATTTGACCTGATTTTGAATAATTTTCAAATAGATTTTTAGCTTCAGGCATGATTTCCAGCCCTAACCATGAGTTGGCAGATAAAAGATAATAGAATGCTGGTACATAAGTGCCTCTCTTTTGTACTTCTTAAAAAGTGCAAATAGACGGTCTTCTCAAGTGGTTTTTGTAGTTCTAGTTGGGCTCCCTTCAGATTTTAAAAATGAGCCAAGTTCCATTAAGTTATTTTGAAGCCCGATGAACAATAACATCAAGTGCATGAATGGCATTTTTTCTTCCCTACAAAACAGCAGTACAAACAACCAACTAAAAGTGTTAAGGTGGTTATTACGCCATACCCTAAAAGATGGGGTCCGGTCCCCGTAACAGAAATAAAAAATTAGCGCTTACAAAATCATCCAAAATCTAAACTTGTAAAACAATCACATTTATAAAGCAACAATACCGGTCAAATAATGCATGAGTTCAATCAGAAATGATAAATGACAGAAAAATCACAGCAATTTTGAATCTGGAAAATCTGCATTTTGATGTAAAAAAAAGTATAGACAAAAAACTATATATATATATATAGTTTTTATGTATATAGTTTTAAAAACTATATAAAAAAAATACCGGTTTTTATGTATATAGTTTTAAAAAGTATAGCAATTTTAAATCTGCATTTTGATGTATATATATATATATATATATCTATATGTATATATATATATATATATGTATATATATGAACTTGTAAGACAATTACTTTTATGGAGTCAAAACCATTATACAAAATAACTTGTGATTTAATATAGAAGGTCGTGAAAATTAGTTGTTTGTAAAATGATTGTGAAATGACAGAAATTGTAGATTTTACAACCTCTTAGAATTAATATAAAAACTGTAGATTTTATAACCTCTTAGAATTAATAAAAATGTATTTTAAGAAACAATTTAAGAATTAACATTCAAAAAGAGAATTTAAGTCGGAAGGCATTAGAGGATGCAATATATAAAACCTCCTCGATGATACTGTAAACTTCAACAATTGATCTCCCATGGCGTTGATGAGCTGAAATAGGAACCCAAACCTGCACCAGGAATTTGCTTTTGATGTAAGAACAAGTATTGAAATGACTTATAGTATCACGATTAGAGAGCACATCATAGAAAAATAGAATTTCTTAAAGGTATCAAAACCATTAGCAGCTAGAACACATCATAGAAAAATAGAATTTCGCACATCATAGAAAAATAGAATTGCTTAAAGGTATCAAAACCATTAGCAGCTAGAAAGAGATTAAGAACATGTATTGAAATGACTTATAGTATCACGATTAGAGAGCACATCATAGAAAAATAGAATTTCCTAAAGGTATCAAAACCATTAGCAGCTAGAAAGAGATTAAGAACATGTATTGAAATGACTTATAGTCACATCATAGAAAAATAGAATTTCGAAAAATAGAATTTCCTAAAGGTCTCAAAACCATTAGCAGTAAGAAAGAGATTAAGAGAAGCCTTTCATATGCATGAGATATATATAAATGCTGATCCATAAAAGGTCGATTAAACGCATGAGGAAATATATCTCAAAGGGCGAGAAGATGCGGAAGGCGATGTAGAGAAATTCCTACCTCCTCACTACCGCCATGATATGTTCCGGAGACTCCACCACTTGTAACAAAGAGATATATCAGTGGAGGAGTTCACAGTGTTATTTGACTAGTTGCAGATGAAGTGTGATTTGGTCTACAACCACCACCTGTCAGGCAGTCACCCACTGTTGGAGACACTAGCATAAGCATGCCTCAAAAAGCTGATAAAACTGATTCGGATAAAGATAGAGACACCCCAATGAGAAGAAGCTTGAAAAGAGTAGCGTGTCTAATACAGTCCCCGCTAGAAAAAGCTTCAGATGCCACGCATTTGTGCATATCGCATTCAGCTGCACGACGAGCCGAGTTGTGTCTTTTATAAAGCAGGACATTATGGAGGAGGTTAGTGATTAGGAGACAACAAGGAATAGGTTAAGGTGTATCATCTTCCAACGGATAAAGAAGAAACGTGCTGGTTCGGCGGGTCCTGCAGACCGAGTATACGAGGGATTTGCAGTGGCTTCATCACAATAATTTCTACACCAGTTACAGTGAATGAGAAGATATGCAATCTCATTATCGATGGAGAGAACAGTAAGAAAGTGGTGTCTACATAAATGGTGAACTTGGGCTTCAAGACTCAAAGGCACTCCGAGTCATATTCTCTGACATGGCTGAAGGAGGAAAGGTCAGCATCAACGGAAGGTGCCGAGTAGAGCTTTCGGTTGGGAGTCAGCTGCAAGATCGGGTGTTGTGTGATGTCGTCCCCATGGATGTCTCACACCTTTTGTTATGAAGACAATGTCAATATGATTGTATGACTCAGCAAAACGGATTCAGAAACACATATTCCTTCACCAAGGATGGGATGAACATAGTCCTCCCTTTGGTGGAGCACGAGATCACAAGTGCCCTAGCTAGCAAAGCAACATCCGTGGAACTGATTTTGGTGAAGACAAAAGATGATAGGTCTAAGACATAGGCTCCAGACACGAGTCAGACACGGCAGAGAACATTTCAAGATATCACGATCGATATCTTACCAACATGGCCACCACCATTCGGAGAGGTTCAGGATACACTCAGTTTAGACCTGGTTGAATCGACCATGGATTAATTTGGGAGTATTTAGTAGCATAGGCGAGACATGCAGATTCAGTTCATTAGTGAAAACCCAGGAAAGTGGATCAATATGAATATATGCTCGCAAGTGGATAATATTTCTCTGGTATTTTGGAGGACAGAGCAACCATCAGTGGGATCTAGGTGTTTCCCAGACTGCAATAAAAGATCCTTCAGCCTCAAAAGATTACAACTCCGGCATTATCAACATACAACCAGAAACTTCGACGAATGAAATCCAAGCTCCCCCAGCCCCGAGAGACTATAGCGAGGTTGGGGCTGGACCGGCCGGTCCAACATGTGAGTGTTGATCTAATAGGGAGGTTGGACTAGCCAACCGACCTTCTAATGGCATGAGATTCCACACCCTTTTTTCTTTCACCCTATTATACCACCTATCATATTATGTGTTCATTGCTAGTTGTTTAAGGTTCAGCTTTTCTGTGCTCTGATTTACGATTCCTGGTTGTCGGGCATTTCCTCTTGATACGGGTTGCATCTGAGTACAGGTGGTGCTCCGACTATATCATGCTCTAAGTTGGTGACTATCTCCCACTCCCCACACAATTCCTTGTGTCGTGTGCTACCCTTCCAACGATAGCCCACCCTTTTCATGTTCAGTTGTCGCCAATTCCCTCTTACCTCCATTGCTACAACTGCAATCCCCGTCTGCTTCCCCTACCACAGTCTTAACCCCTTTCTACTATCACTATGATAGTTGTAAGCCTTTCCAGCTTCCTCCACGACTACCTTAGACCCCCCCTGCCCCCATCACACCGTAACCCTACCCTGCTTCTCTTGCTAACCACAACCAGTTGTAACTCCATCCTGTTGCACCATAAGTCCCCTTTCCAACCCTCTCATCTCTCAACCTGTTGTTGCCAAGCCATTCCATCCTCCTTTCCTGTTTGTCTAGCCACCACTCAGCACGGTCATCCTCACCCTAGGTTGTTGTTTGTTTTTTTGTCTTTTATTCAAGTTTTTGAAGAATCGTCATTGTAACCCATTTCAATTTCAGTAATAATATTTGCAATTCTTTTGTGGGTTAGGTTAACTCCAGTATCAGTGGTTATAGCCCAATTTTACCGACAAAGGTTGGACAATCCAACCAAAAAGAATTAAGTAATGAAATATAGGAAACTACTACTTAAAATAACCATAAGGTCTTATAATGAATCAAAAATGGAAGAAAAGTAAGTCAGCCCTCCTCACAGGTAGTAATAGATTGGTTCCATGTGACTCCGTCCTTAATCCAACTAATTGGGTTGCACCAGCGAGCCAAACTAGATTTCAAATCGATGGACACGTGGATGAATGCCTTTGTGAGGCGCATGGCTATAGGAGTAATAATAGACAAACAGCTTAATGTTATCGCATACTACTAAGGAGCTTTTACATTATAACCAAACAGCTTCAAAGCTCGAAGCTAAGATATATCCTCATTCTATTGAACGGTAAACCTACAGCACTAAAACTTTTTATTTTTTTATCACACGATGGGACAAAGTGGATAAGAATATGAAGCACATATAGCAATCCTATGGTTACATAGAACAATTTTCAATGCCCTCTAGAAAAATCATAAATCTTTATCTGAGCTAAATGTTAATAAGACATCAGTACAACATATCAGAATGCAATAAATTTTATTTCACTAAGAGAATATTGTCATATTATTTGATAAAGTGCAAGTATAAGTAGAGAAATTAAAGATAAGAAAATTAAATTTCATGATTCCATTATTTACGACTAGGAATGTTATATAACAAAATAACAGGTCAAAACTGTCAAAATAAATGAAGTTTACAAACAGCAATATCTCATAACAAGCATCCTCAAAAGAAATGAATCAACAAAAGTAAGCACCTCTTGTCCAATCATCCGTTCAATCCAACCAGCAATCTGCTTCAGTTGTGAGTTCATCCACCTCAAGACCAACATGCCAGATGTTGTTTCAACCTTTCATCACAGGAAAGCATAATTTATGAATGAAAATATTTCTAAGAACAGTGAAATTTATAAATCAATTATTGAATTTCATCCAAACATTAAAGGACTTCTTATGAGATTAGCACACCCCACAAGTAAAGGTGAGGAGTATAAAGCAATTGAATATATTTATAAGAAAGCACAAGCAAAGTTTAAAAATGAAGACCTCGTGATGCAGGATCATCATAGCATTTAAAGAGTCTAACTTGAGGGTCCACACGACTCTACTTCATGGACATCATTGTCAGTATTTTCTTTTCAATGACCACTTATGCCATTTATTATTTTTTACGCTTTATCTGTTATAGCTTTATTAATAAGAGTGTTGTGTCTTCTTCCCTTGTCACGATACGCAAGGGATGGACTTCTCGTCTAATGCTTACCAAATAATGATGAATAAAATTATTATGCAATTGCACTCAACGTGTGCTTCTTGGCATGCTCTTTTAATGTGATTAGAGTTCTACCAATGTTACTTTATGCATTCTTAAGATCCGAGTTTTCTATATAGGTTGCCGCTAAATTAGACATGAAAGGTTCTTTCGACTTTCTGCCAACAATTTGGCTCTCTTTCCTGCTGCTTATGGTTTTCAACATTCATCTTCTCCCACTATCCTGTCAGTTTTCACCATGAGAAATGTCGTACAAGCGCCCAACAATTTGGAAATCAGAACGAACATCATTCCATGGAACTTACACAGCCAAAATCTTCCCCTTACGCAGTCCATGTCCTGAAACTGCATCCCAGATCACACCTTCCAACCCAACAGTAAGCCTTTCAACTCCGCTGAAAAAAGCCCTAACATTGCCAAATTTCCTACAGAAACCTCTCTACTCGCTGGATTTTAGGCTTCCAAATCTCTGCATGGCATGGCTGCAGCTGTTATATCTACCTGTGGCTCCCTGTTGAATATCTAGTGGACTTGATGTACACAGCAGAAAATACACATCAATGCATAGTGCTGAAGACCTGAATTTGTACAGCCTCCTAAACTGCATTAAAAAAATTGTTGGTGAATTGTTTAATTGCCGCTTTCTGCAGCTCTCCTTGCTTTGAAATCTCGAAGCACCTGCTGCATCCCATGTTGCAAATTAAAATACAATGTTACTTTCCCTTTGGATGCTAAATTCTAACATATATATATATATATAAACCGAAGGGCAATTATATTAAAGAGAAAAGGGTACAGATAGGTTGTATGAGTGGGCCCAAATAGGCACCCAACCCATATGGTACAACACACACAAAAAGAAAAAAGAAAAATTAAAAACACAAAAGAAGATGGTACATATAATATTAATCGGGTCGACCCAATTTAGTTGTCTCTGCTTCTAGTTCTCGGTAGGGAACCAGCTAACAAATTGGTGAGATGGGTACCATTGCCCGAAGTAACCAAAGTATCATCCATTAGATTCCTTAGCTCAAGTAGATCTTCATTCTTCGTCTTCCTCCTGGAAGTGTAGACCTGTCATTCCTCATCCGAAGATTGTTGCTCATTCGGATGAGATGGTAGTGCTGCAGTAGAAAGATTGCCAACAGTTGTGCCCACAAGAGGTTCAAATGTATGAGAGGTAAGAGTTGTCGCCTCTACCCCTGATACTTCCTGAAGATGGGGAGTTGTTAATAAATTGGTAAGATTAGTGTCATTGTCAGTAGTGACCAAAGTATCATCCAATAAGTTCCCGAGCTCAAGTCGGCCTCCAGTCATCTTCTTCCTCCTGGAATAGACCTGTCATTCCTCATCCAAAGATTGGCTCGTCTGATCAGTGGATTGGTCTAAAGTGTGTCGGACATGTATAAGATGTTCAACATTAGAAATAACTGATTGTCGTACCAGCTGATGTTTTATTGGATCAAAAGAGCACTCTCGTGTGTCTTGCCATGTAAGTGAGTTTTCTTCAAAAAGAATGAGCAGTATAAACACTTTTGAATCTATATTTGTAGTATGGTGTTCTTAATTAGAATCTGCGATGTTGGGTAGAGGATCGGGTTGCACCTTCTGATCTATATCTGTAGTATGGTGTTCTTCATTAGAATCTGCGATGTTAGGTAGAGGATCGGGCTGCACCTTCTCAACAAAGATGGTAGGTGACTAATCTTTAGCGATATTCGGCCTTAGATGAGGATGCAAGCAATAGCAAACAGTAAAACTATGGCCAAACATATTACAATGAGAGCAATAAGGAGGGTGTGGTTTTATTTCAACCTTTTGTCAATACCCGTTGTGAGTGGTTTCAATCCATACCTCATCCAGGCTAGTTGAGTGATATCTCTCTCAACTAATACACAACGAAAGTCTGGTAACAGCAAGCGTGGGACTATCAACCTTGAGAATCTTACCGTAAGCAGTTGCTAAGGAGTAGAAAATTTTCAAGTTGAACGGATGTAATTTTAACCCCGGAAACTTTATCCAAACTGAAATGACAGAAGCTCTGCTTTTGGATCAAAATCGACAGTCCATTTCAGAATTTTCATAAAACGGTTGTCAATCTTGAAAACTTTTCGAGAAAATATACGAGTGTAATCGACATCATGAGATAGTTGAATAAGTATATGTCGACCGTCAAGTAATCCAATATTCCAACAGCCCAATAGCTTCATAGCCTCAAAATCTTTTCTAATGATCTCAAGTTTTGGGTTTCCATAAAGAAATTTTCCCACTAGAGCAAAGATTCAAGAAGACGCGAGCAAAGATCCAAGAAGACGCGAGAGTGCTAGTTTCAACCGAACAAGTCACTGTGCAGAGCGAAGGAGGAAACTGAGTTGTTCGCGGAGAAGATGAATGTAGCAGCAGAAACAAAATTGTGGGAGTTGTCAAGCAGAAACAGTCGTGGTAGCTTTTGAGCGGAAGTCGCGAGCTTTGCCAGACACGACAAAGACACAACGCACAAACGCGAGGTCGCGAAGCTCTGCTAGACATGACGTCGACGCACAACGCAGCCCGACAAATGCGAGCTCTTCAACCAGACGGAGCTGACGACGAAAATTGAAGCAGTGGAAATCGACGCGATATTCACACGTAGCAGACGCTAGCGACGACATTTCATCACACACATAATGTATGTATGTATGTATGTGTGTGTGTGTGTGTATACATACATATATATATATTATACATATACATATACATATATGTACATATACATATATGTATATATACATATACATATATGTATATGTACATATACATATATGTATATCTATGTACATATATATATGTATATATACATATATTGATTTATTTATATATACACACATATGTTGTTTGTGCAAATGCTCTCAAGAAAGTGCTTCACATGTATATTTCTTCTAACCCTTTGCTAAGGAGATATGGCATAGTTTGGGACCGATTTTTGGTTTGGAAAATTTTACTTGGCAAAATATGGATGAATGCTTACTTGTTTGGCAATCTTGTGCTTCATCGGACACCACATTGCATCTTATTCGTTGATATGACCGACATGAGAGAGTTGGTTTACGTGAGAAGAACTACTGATACTAGGAAATAGATGGTTTGATATAGTCTAGTTTCTTGTGCTACTAATTTCATATTAACGTTGTACTATTGTTGGTTGGATTGCGATAATATTTTACTTTCAAATTATGTTGTTACATTAGTTGGATTTGATTTTGTTTAGTATATTTTGTGGTTTTTAGTGATTGTCTTTACTATTGGAAGTAATTATGGTTTATTGAATAAATGTAAAAGAAAGGTTAATACCGTCCGATCGCAATTCTTAGCATGGTTGATTCTAATCTATCAGGTCGGGTCGTGACACAAATATTATTTGTAATTGATGTAGTCTCTGTTATTATTGTTGAAGTCTTTTTTTTCACAGTTAGATGAGAGGTAGTAGTTCATTTTCGTAGCGTAGGTTTACTTAGCTGATTAATTTCCTCTACCGGTACTAAAGAAGTATTCATTTGATTTGTTTACGTCAATTTTCAACTAATGCACTGCAGTAAGAGAAATCTGATTTTAAAATTAAAAGGTTACTGTTTCGTTGATAGGTAGGTTGCAAATTCATTGTTCATCCTGGAATTCAAGTGTGTTGAGAAAATTATAATATTAGCCAAATCATAGAGGTATTCTAAAAACTTACTTCTCTTTTACCTTTGGGTTTATAAATAGGACCCCCGAGATGTGTAAAATTCGTTGAATGATAAATGGTTAAATAAAAAATATTCTTACTCTCAACTCTTGTGTGTATTGCTGGACGAGGATTCTTTGAGTGCTTGCAAGTTTTAATGATAAATTCTAAGAGAACTCTTATTGCACTACCGTGAGGTCTGGATCTTTTAATTGGTGTTATATGCCATTGTTCTTTCATCTAAACTAATATTCAATTGGCTTGTGCATGATTCGGATTTATTTAAAGTTTGATACATGATCCATTTTTGCAAGACTTTTAATCACAGCAGGACTTTATATTCATTATCACACAGACACGCACCTTGTGGAATTTCAGATTTTGACCGACTTCTAAATTATTATTGGACACAAATGAAGTATGTTTTCTGATTTTGAATCCAATGAAATTAATTTTATAATCATTAGAAACTGGAAGTTGGGATCATTCGTATCTTTATTTGCACATCTCATCAGAAATTTGCATCTGTGAATTTAGAACGTAAGGTAGAAACAGCATCACTGTCATTATTTTCTTTTAAATGTTTGCTTGTGGCATTAATAATTATTTGGACTTAATTTTCACCTCTTAGGTTGGTAAAATTCAAAAATCCGATATGAGGTTAGGCAGTATGTAATGCTTAATGAATAGAATTATTAATAAAATTGCTCTTTTAAGGATTTTTTTTCTACCAAACATTTCTTGAGATTGGTACTGCTGCAAGGTTTTTTTTCAGCTCATTAGATCCAGGTTATGGATGTGGGTTATGTGTTGTATTGGATTAGTGACCCTAATTGACGATGATAATGTGAAGTGTATATGACTAGGGACGAAGAACACAACATAGTTAAAAAAATGGTATTATATAGCCAATTTATGTAGAATTGCCACATAAAACTACTGCATGAGTAGAGCCAGCTCAAACTTAACTACCTAATAAGCTCGGCAATTGAGCTTGCGAATACGTTGATATCAATACATGCTCCATAAGTCTGAATCAATTGATCGTGACGAGCTGCACAAAATCAAGTTTGATAATGCTGTGCAGGTTAAATGTATGTTTAAACTCAAATGTAATATATCCCAAGAAGTGTACAGTTTTTATAAAAGCATGCAAATACTATGTATCTTACAAACTCTCTATTTTGATAATCAGATTCAATACGTCAATTTATATTTGTTCTCATGCAAGATGCCCTGTCTATATGGCAGGATCGCAAGTCATTTTAGCCATTTTAATCCTCCTGCAAATAGAAACCAGAATTGACAAGACCGAGTTCCCACTGACTAGTATGATCCCTCTTCTAATGAAGGCTGGGGTTGACAAGACTAATGCTCTAACACTATTCAAATGATACTTTTCAATTGAAATTATAGTTATAAACATTTTCGAAATCCCAAATGATAGACGTATTGTTTATGAATGTCAACCGAACGTTCTATTTTCAAAATTAAGCTTAAAGGAATATTTGGATAAACTCAATTGATATGGGGTATAAACCAAACCCTCTGTAAGTGAGACCGAACCAACAATATTCAAAATTATCTAAATCCCCTATGATGGTCATGTGAACTGTGAATATCAACTGAAAGGGGTTATTTTCGAAATTAAGCTCATAAGAACATTTGAATAAATTAAATTGATTTAATTTATAAGTCTGATCATCTATAAGTGGAACAGAATTGACAATATTCAAATTTACATAAATAGCTGATGATGGGAATATTAATTGCACATTTTAACTAATGAGTTTATTCCTAAAATCAAGTTGTCAAATCATAAAAACCTTAAAAACTATTCAATGAAATTATATCACTTAATGGTTAAGAGCAAAGCTCATCCCCTCTCCACAAGCGTTTCTTGAGGGTGGCAAATTTAAGGACACCTGAGCTCACAAAAAATGAAAGTCAGGTCAAATATATTACATTCATACTCAAAATAATAAAAGCCAATAAATATATGATCTGAGTCATTTGTCCACATAGTTTGGAAATTAGGCTTCACAAAAGAGAAAGTTATGATCAGAGCTCTCTGAATCAATGGTTTGGCCAATAAGCTCCACTATATTAAGGTAACGGTTGTAACCCATATATTCCTAATAGTTTTATATCCCTTAAATCATAAAGTATACCTAATAGAACATAAAGTCTTCTATTAGCTAATATTGGATCTAAATTAGTCTCTTAGACAAACATCCACCCTAATTCTGCAAGGTTCTCTTGAATGAAGCAAACATGGTTGTTGGGAATGATCATTTTGTTAGAATGGGTTGACCAACTCTTTTCAGTAAATAGATTAAATACCATGACAACACGGGATAACATACCTATGAAATTTTGATCAGGATCATCATTATTTCCCCTATCATCTGGTTTAAGCTTACAATAATAAACTCTCACAACTAAAAAACTTAAATTTGTTGCTACTATATGCTAAATCCAAATACTTAGTGACTAATGACTAACCTTAATCAAAATTGTTCCCTAGTTATCAGAAGAGGTAATTAAACATGGAGACTTACAGCTATGGGAAACCTCGACCCTAGATCTAAAGTCCTAATAAAATGAGAGTGAGATCCATGGATAGTGTCTTATTTACTGTTTCATCTGCTTTCTAGAAATTTAACCCGAAACTCACGTGATACTCTCATTCATTCATTCCTCCTTTTGATAGAACTTGGGTCACAAATTTTTGGAGCCCACAGATGCAAGCTAGAGCTTGAGCTCGTTGAGGCTCAGCTCACGAGCTAGATCATATATCTAGTTGTTGATCGTGTCGAAGCCTTGTCTAACAAGCTACCACAATGATTTCTTTTTTCCCGGTCATTGGTATGTCAATGCCTTTTCTAATGAGCTCCAGCGAAGATGTCTTCTTTGGCCTAAGTTCACGAGCTACCTCACAAGCTCACTATTTTTGCTGCAAGCCAAGCTTAAGGTTGCCCTTTGAGCTCAAGTTCGAGCTCATGATTTGATAGGCGAATTGAGCTCAAGTTAGGCGTAACTCAAGCTAGAAATAGGTCTAACCCCTATATCAGACATGAACAAATATTTAATACTTCTTGGAGAGAAAAAAAAGATGAAAACAATAACCTAATAATGAAAAACATGATATGCTAATATGTACCAACAGCATAGCAAGAGTTTAAAGAAGGTTTGTTCAAGGACAGAATGAAGTGAAAGAAATCAACCAATGGACATAAGTTCAGACAAAAAAATGCTTATGGTACGAACAATAGGTTGCTGAAATGAATCAGAGTTGTACAGTAATCTATTAACCTATAAACGAAGGGAGGAACACGAGTTTTACATATCAACACAAATACAACAGTCAAGCAAACACAGATATGTAAGTACGCAAAAATAGAATTCCATGACCTGGTGAAAGAAGAAAAAAAAACTTTTGTATCAGATCTGAAATTACAAATTAAGAAAAAAAAAAAACCTGGAACAAATTTAATTTTGCAGTAGTCATCCAAATCCGATTCTGCACAAGCAGAACCAATCACCATAATCACATACTGCTCAAAGCTTTCAGCAGCAGGAAACACAGAGACAACATCCTCTGTAAGATGTTCAGCACGATCAAGAAATGGTTTCTGGCACAAAGAAAGAACCCTAAACAACAATGATCATGAATTAAATGACAAAACATAAATAATGTGGATTTGCAATAAACTCACCAATTTATGACCGTAAAGTTTGTGGAGAAGACATGCAGAAATAATTGCTGCATGTGGATGCCAACGTGATAAAATAGGAGAGAATGTATTCGACTCTTTCTTCAGAAGTTTTTTGTTTTCTTCAGCAAGACAGGCCAAGGCATGTTCATGTGTTGTTTCCAACTTAGCTTCAACAGAATGGGTGATCTGCAGGTAGCACAAAGTATTTCTAGATTATGCAAAACTTGAAAAGTTATCTGAATCCCCATGAGGAATAAGAATACAGAATATGAGTTTCATTTGATGTTCTAACAAGTACGTTTAAAATGCAGAAAACAATAAACTCTCAAATGAAAATCAAAACTTTGAGAATTCGGCCAAGTGATATGACTTTAATTGCTAAAGCTCACCCTTGTAAAAGCGCATTTAATAGAAGATGAAATATAAGCATCAATCCATTCTTGTTCATCCAGTTCCAGCACCTGCATCATACATCCAAATTGCGTAAAATCAGAATATAATAGCACTAAGCAGGAAAAGTAAACATTTCAGCCCAATGGTAATCTTTTTTTAAAAACGAGATGAAGATAATATGAAAGGGCAAGAAAAACCAACTTCTTCATTTTCTTCTACTAAAATTTTTCGAGTGATCATTGCCACAGTTGTTAACTCAGCCATCATTGCTGGCTCCTGCACATCACAGCAGAAAATGTTTTATTAAAAAAAAAAAGCTTTAAAATTACTATAGAAAATGCTATATTAATGTGAAGTCCAATCCAAAAAATTTGAACCCAAATGACAATGCATGAACGAATACATATAAAAAAGCCAACCGAAAATAAAGGTCACATGAAGTTATTGAGCGATTGTAATTTATTCATCCAAATAAAAGCCAATGTTGCATTAAATATGAAAAAAAAACATTAGCAAGCCAAAAGCAAGTTATTTGAAATTTATGTCGAGAAAATTATTGACAAAAACATAAATAAATAAACCCAAAACCAATACAAAAAAATGGATATTCTCTAGAATTAAGTAGTTTAAAATGTGCCATTCTAGAAACAATCACATCGAACATGCGCACAAGAATAAAATTAAAATAAAAAATTTGAGAAAAGTGTCAAAATAGTCACCCAACTCATTATAAGGGACAATTTTAGTCCCAGAGTCTAAAAAAATACCAATTTAATCCTCTGACTCTTTTAATGGATGTTGAAATAGTCCTCCCCATGGACTATTTCAGTCCATATTAAAAAAAGTTTGGAGACTAATTTAATATTTTTATAGATTATGGGACTAAAATTACCCAATATAAAGAGTCTGAGGTCTATTTTGACATTTCACTATTGAATAAAAAAAAATTAATGAAATCACATTGGCAATACATTTATCAATTTTTCATTTATAAATTACACTAGCATACCAATACGATCCGAAACCAAAAACATCAAACAAACAACGAATAAATTGCAGTAGAGAGGCGGGGAAACTCAAATGAGGGCTGATTTTACTAATAACAATGAAAGCCAAAAAAATACAATGTTGATCTACTGTTCGAGAGATCGAGAGATAGATCATCTCTCCACAAACCCTGAACACCGTTAGGAACACCAAGAGAAAGAAAAACCACAGTAAATCAAAACAAAAAAACAAACTATAGTTAATTAGACTTAATAAATACTCTCTGCAAATCATTCCAACTCCCTCGCCCCTTAAACCCCCCACCCGAACTTTGAAATCATCCTAAAAATTCAGATGACGCGGGAGTGTCTCTGCCCAACGAAACAAAAATTTTCTTCATAAGATTTCTGTAACATGATATTTCCCACTACTTTGTTGATACAGATTTCGAGGGCCCTATTTTTCCTTTTTTAATTAGAATCAGGATTTAATTGATGCAAGTACACATTGCTTAAAGCCTGATTTGGAGATTTTTGCATTGGTTTATGTTATTTGGAGACTTTGTTTCTCTATTTTCCCCAATTTGGAGAGTTGTAACCTATTTTTTTAACTAGTCAATATGTGTTTTGAATAGAACAGTTAATGGATCCTCTCTCAGCAACCACACCTCATCGAAATCATTGTTTCATCGTACCGCCCACTGTATTCAGCCCTAACAACCAAACTCCTTTAATCCCCTTCCAACCTCGCCGACTTTGCATATCATTCTCTTTGCAATTTGGCAGCCTCGCCCTGCAAAATCTAATCCTAAAACACCTTCTAAGAATCTAAGACCGGTGTTACATATGTAAATACATTAGAATTGTACAGAATGCATGTAAATTTCTATTAATTTAATTTTCATTGTATTTATATTCTAATTTATTTCAAATCTTTAGGAGGGATTAAAATACATAGCACTCATTTTTTTCATTTACGTACTAAACACCAAAACTTCACTATTTACTCACATAACAATTAAAATTTCATAAAATATCAAAAATACTGTTACCACCATCAAAGCTTTGCACTGAGTCCCATTGTGACTTCCTTGTTGTCAAGCTTCACACACCACCTTCGCACATAAACAGTGCCCTTCCCAATAAAATCTCGATGTTGCACTCAAGAGAGGCGATGGGAGCCCCATCCCGACAGGGAAGGATAGGAACTGCAATCAAAATCCCTTACCAGCAAGATCACATCACGAATTATGTCTGATGAGATCCATCATGATTTTCGCTTCATCTCAATCAAGAGTTTCTTCAATTGAGTTAACGAAGTGTTATATTATGTTATTAGTGAAGTTGAAGTATTAAATACATAAATAGGTAAGTTTTGAGTGTTGTGTATGAAAATCACCCTAATCTTCATTATTTTTATTATCACAATCATTATGTGATAATTATTTAAGTTAAGTATTACATTAATTATTTTAATCAATATTTAATTTTATTATTTTTTTACTTATATTGCCAGGTGGTAGCTACTCCTATTTGTTTTTGTTGAGTGGCTGTGTAATTTTTTTCTCTTTATTAGCCCTCTACAGGTCAAACAGGGGAAGTGAGAGTCATCGAGCAAAGGGACGAATGAAAGAGGATTTCGTGATATACTTTGTGCGGGAGACACCGAGAGCAAGGAGAGTAAACGACGAGGGTTTCGAAAAGGTCTACTCGTCGATCTTGACGCTGAAAGCAACACAGGATTTAGAAGAGGAAGATCACACCTATGGACAACCGGGAAGAGATCTTCGACGGGTTATTGATAAATAGATCAAGGTTCTTAGATGCAATATTGGTGTCGAGGTTGCAAGTTCTTAAATATAGATGTCACTTATTTTCTTGCAGATCATGTGATTTCAATCCTCTATTTACTTCTTGCGTTGTTTAATATATTTTTGTATGAATTTGTTTAGATCTTCAATTTGACATAATTCAGTATATCAAGTTCAAAATGATAGCTTTTAACCTGTAAGCCAAGGAAAAAATGAAATAAATAAAAGCCCGAAGTTTCTACCTGTGGATTCAGGCGCCCTATGCTGAACCATAAAAATCTATGTATATCTTTATATTTGTGATCTTTAATATTTTGGTATTGCTGATTATTTTTGTGTTTAGATCTATTTTAGTTGTATTGGGAGACTTTGCAAGATAATGTTTCCAATGAAATCTTGAATGAAGTTGTTTAATTCATATCCTGTTAGTGATCCTTTGTAGACATTAATCATGTAGCTATCGTTCATATATTCTTTCTTGTTCTAATTGTAAGTTTAAAGAGCTGTGGCTTAAAAGACTCTCTTTGTTGATTCATATTTGTAGAATAGGAGTTATGATATTAGGAATTTCTACTTAATAAAATCACTTAGGAAGCCTTCCATTAAAACCCTTTGAACTGAATCATTTCAAAGAACTACAACAATATGGTCATAGGATAGTTGCTTAGTACAATCATAATCATGGTTTAAGATGAATTTAACCATTGATCTTATCTTGACAAATGTTCTATAATAAAGAGAACTCGAAGGGATCAAGTAAATAATGCTTTGAATGCTCGTTTCTCCCTCTTAGTATATGTACTTGATTCTCACTCGCCTTCCCTCTCCTTTTCTTCTATTTTCTTTCCTTCTTCAATTGTTCCATGCTTCAATAATTCTCCTATTTCTTTGCTCTACGCTACACTTTAGTAAACTCTAATTTGGAAAAAACTTTCATATGTAAAATAGAACGTTTCCAAGCATCTACCACATGATAGGTATTAACATTATATTTTCAGAATCCTAAGCCCATTTAGAAAAGCCAGTAAATAAGACACAAAAGAAATAGCGCAATTATTAGAGACACACAAAGAAATCAGCAATATCTTAATGAAATCAAACCTCAGAGAAATGCAAATGGTAGTCCCCAAGCTTCTTATCAGCCCATCTCTGAACTGGAGACAAGAAAGACTGCAGAAATGTAAGCTTTTGAGACCTCTCGTCCAATTCAACTAAACAACAAAGACTTTTCAAATGTAATCTTTCTTGCGGACTCCTCTGCTCCTTCGATGGAATCTTCCTTAAGTGCTCGGCCACAATTTGTAGGAGTGTCTGTTCCCCTGTGATAACAAACTGGTTTCGAAAATGTTCAGAAGCAGCAGTTTTTAAGGAATGAATAATCAAGGGAATGTTAAAAGTTCAATGTAAGTTTCCGAAATATGCATAAAATTTGCCAAGGCTATCGATTTTTGATAAATCTAAACCTCATTGCATGCCCCATCACCCTCTCCCAACCTATCATCTCTCCTCCTTTATCTATTAATCATCAAATCTTGCCTCCTCTCCTAACTCTTCCTCCCAAACCATTTCCCAGTTCTCAGCCTCATACGAACTATATTTTTCACTTGCAAGCTTCTACATCTCAGGAAGACGCATGAGCTTGTGAACTTGTGCATCACAATTGTACAGCATATTTACAATAGTGACCAGATATGCCCATTCCACAACATACAGGGTCAACATTGCGCACAATAGTGCAGCATCCCTCTACCTCTTTTGAAGTGATATATTTTGTTATTTCACACCTTTCTTCGTGGGGTAATAAGACCAAGTACCCCATCAGGCATAATAAGGAAAAGTGCAGTTTTTTATGAACTATGGTTGCCCCTACAAGTATATCAAAGATACCTACATTTCATTCTATGCATGACGAGTAATAAAGTTAGCAAATGTCATGCATTAATTTGTACACACCTATTCAGGGGTGCGAATATAAGAAACAAATATATATATATATATATATATAGCATAATGGTGTCATGAGCACCGCAACATTCACACTCTTCTTAGTGTGATGAGAGGACTAAGAGTTATGTTCAATAGCCACATGAAAAGGGTGATGCGAAAATGCTATCAAAATTTATGATAAATTGCGTGTATCAAAAACATGAAAAACAAGCATACAGACCAAAACATTGAATATACCTGAACATTAAAATGAACGAGAATAAAAGGAATAAAAAGGCTCCTAAAGAGCACAAAACAAAATGAGTGTAATAGGCAGGACACTCAAAAATGTACTCATTAATAATCTCATCTCAATTAAGGAAGAGAATTGAGTACATATGAGGTGGAGTCGAGATCCTAAATAACATGCTAAATTAAAAGGCGAAAAATATTCACAACACCATACACCTCAAACAACTTGAGAATATGAAATAAAGACTTGTTGCAAATAGAATGGGTTTGTTGACCTCATTTTTTAGGTTTTTTTTCCCCTCATTAGGACCTAGGATCTAGCCTTAGGTTCTCTCTGTTTGGCCCTCCTAGAGGACTAGTATTGAGACCCACACTGCGTAGAACTTCAAACCACTTTTGACTCATTTTTTTGTGAAGACCTCGCATGAGTGGTCCCAAGAGGGTTAAAGACCAACATGTGGAAGGCCCGAAAATGAGTTCCCACAGGATTTAGGAAGTCTTATGAGTTCCCACAGGATTTAGGAAGTCTTAGGTAAACCATTTGTGACTAGAACACTCGTGAACACTGCAATTTAAGCACTCATTGCACCACGCTGAAATGTTGACTTGAATTGATCTGACCGTCGGCAAACTTGTCCAGACGACCAGGATGACGAAAAGGACCCTGATGGTGTGTCTGGAACGTCAATTTTAGCTATGAAGAACATCCATATTGTTAAGGTTCTGCACGCATTTTGGAATTTCCGATATAAAAAATTGCTTGCCTCTCCTCCACGGAGACAACGATGATTCGACATTCAACTTCTCCCTCTCACGCTCGATCTCGTCTCCCTTTCTCGAAAGAAATCCCGTTCGCCTCTCTCCTGCGCCAAAGCTCCCGCTCGCCCCTCCCTCTCCACTGAAAACCCTCGCTCGGCTCCCCCCGCTCGCCTCTTCTCCTTAGCACAGAACCCCCCATCTTCTCACCTGCTCACCTCTTCGCTACACCAAAGCCCTCGGCTTCGTCTCCTCTCGCCTGCACCGAAAGCTTTTCCTCGCCTCTTCTTCCTAATCGAAGCTCTGCTCTTCCTGCTTGAAGCACTCCACCGTAACTTTGTCGCCTGTCTCTCTCTTCCTCGCGCTCGGGGTCCATCAGCCTCCCCCTTCCTCTCAACAGAAGCTCGACAGCTCGATCCCATTCGCCCTTTTTCCTCACACAGGAGAAGCACCTGCTTCGCCTCCCCTCTTGCGAACTCCCCTTCGCACCGAAGCACTCGCCTGCTTCGCCTCTCCCATTCGGCTCTCCTCTCTTCTGCACCGAGACCCTCGCTAGCTCGCCTCCCTTCTTCCTGTTCGACTCTCCTGCTTCGCCTCCCTCCTGGTCGAACAACGCTAGCAGCTCGTGTCTCCCCCTCAGCGCAGAAACAATTTCCTTCGCCTCCTCCCCTCTGCACCGTAACCCTCGTCTACTCCTCGCACTCACACGTCGAACAACCATAGTTGCTTGCCTCCGCCCACTTCTTTGCAAACGCTCAGCACGTCGTCTCTCTCAACTGAAAGCCTCCCTCTCACTGGACTCCACTCTTTCTCTCGACCAGGAGCACTTGGCCGACCCTCTCCCTCGTCCGCATTGGAGGTAGGTGGAACATTGAACTTCTTCGAACTTCTGAAATGCTTGGAGCACAAAACCTTAGCAATTATAGTAATTGGGTAACAGAGACATCTCTTGTTCCTATACTTTCATTTTATTTATACAATACAGGACATATAAAAGTTAGGAAGATTTACATACTGTTGACCTCATTTTTTAGGTCATCTATTTTTCCTTAGGGTCTTAGAATCTAGCTTTAGGAGTTCCTATTGACCATCTTAGAAAACTAAAAATTGGTACCCACCATTTTAGAAATTCCAAAGCACTTCTTATTTTCCTATGATGTCTAGCATTTATGGTCTCAAAATCATCGTCTTATGTACGAGCGGTTAAGGGCTATTGTGTGAAGACTCAAGGAGAAGTTCCAAATACGACCTCAAGCCTTAAGAAAACCTCCTCACAACTTTATCAACGCATACACACACCAAATGCACAAAATTTACAAAATTGCACGAGGTCGGACTTCAATTAAGCCTAAAAGACGGGTGAAAATGTGAACTTCTCCGAACAAACTTCTCCGAACGACTTCCGGTGGCGAAACGGATCGCACCAGCGCATCCGGAACATCAGAATTGCCCAAAATAGACACCAATTTTGTTAAATTATTTTTGAATTGAATTTTATTTTTAAGAAATATTAAATTAGTTTCTATTTTATCACTTATATTATTAAAACCTAAGTCCTATTTAGGTTTTCACCCGCACTCCCTCCCTCTGTTCAACCCAATCACGGGTTCGAACATAGCTTCTTGGCGTCCCGCTCCCTTTCGCGTCCGTGCCTAGCTCCACAGTAGATCCACGCAGCTCCCGTCTTGTTCCCGTCTATTCCCCTTCTCTACGTGACACGGCAACCGTGTGGTTCTCCAATTAGAGGAGGCGGGCTGGCCGACGCTCCTACTCGAGGCTACCTACTCGAGGCTACGAGCTCTCCCCCTTTATTACGACTCTTCCTTTCCTCTTGAACTTCTCCGAACGACTTCCGGTAGTGAAACGGATCGCACCAGCGCATCCGGAATGTCAGAATTACCCAAAATAGACACCAATTTTGTTAAATTATTTTTGAATTGAATTTTATTTTTAAGAAATATTAAATTATTTTCTATTTTATCACTTATATTATTAAAACCTAAGTCCTATTTAGGTTTTCACCCGCACTCCCTCCCTCTGTTCAACCCAATCACGGGTTCGAACATAGCTTCTTGGCGTCCCGCTCCCTTTCGCGTCCGTGCCTAGCTCCACAGTAGATCCACGCAGCTCCCGTCTTGTTCCCGTCTCTTCCCCTTCTCTACGTGACACGGCAGCCGTGTGGTTCTCCAATTAGAGGAGGCGGGCTGGCCGCCGCTCCTCCCACTCCAGCGCACGCGCTCTACCCCCAATTAACTATAGGGGCTTGCCCTTATAGGGAGCTTTTCCGAACCCAGCTTAAAATAAACCCTATTTAATTATTTGTATTAAATAGGGGAACTTGTCGGCAAATAAAATGGTTTCGCAGACCCAAACGGACGTCATATCTTTCTTAGTTTATTTGATCGAGCTTCATCCTCAGGTCTTGTGTTTATTCTTCGGGGTAGATACAGGATTTGAGGTAGAGCGCTCTTTCATTTAAACTGTGAAAAATATGAGGTCAGTTTGATTTCGTATTTTTCTAAAATTATATATATATATGTAAATTAAAAAGTCCTTCCGAAGCGGGTGACGGGATTTCGATTCCGGCGACCGACAGCTTCTTACGGGCGACCCCCAAACGTTACTCTCCCCTTTTTAAACGCCGACAATCATTTAGGATGGCAAGTACAAAAGGATGATATTTCTTTCCTCTCTTTTAAAAGCATGAGAAGGTAAAAAAAATAGAGGCTTATTTTGAAGTTTAAGCATGAAAATTTGCTTAGGTTGGTAAGAAATGAAGCATATATATAGGTTACCTTCACTTTTCTTTTGCTTGAAACATATGAAGGCATTGGTAGAGCGATTTGGAAATGCATTTTATTCCTTTATAAATGACTATGGAAAGCATGTGTGGGCTATCTTTACTTTCTTTACTTGAGACACTTGAAAGCATGGCTAGAAAGCATGGCTAGTTGAGACACTTGAAAGCATGGCTAGAATGGTCTTGGAATGCATTTTACTCTTTTGGAAAAGCATATTTAAAAGCATATTTGAGGGTTGTCTCTATCACCTTCGTTGCTTGAAATGTTTGGAAGTATGAAATGCACATTGAAAATTATTTTATGAATTGAAAAAGACGTGTTTGGGGATTATGTTTTGTTCTTCTTGTTGCCCATCATTAAAATGCATCCTGGAAATCACTTTTGTGAGTTGGAAAATTACATTTGGGGCTTATGTTTCATTCCTCTTGCTGCCCCTCATCAGAATACTTGCCGGAAATTATTTGTATGTGCTGAAAAACACATTTGGGGCTTATGTTTTGTTTCTCTTGTTGCCCCTCATTAGAATACATGCTAGAAAATATATTTGGAGCTTATGTGTTGCTTCTCTTGTTGCCCTTTGTTAACCTTGTTAGAATA